TTTTTTAATGCTGCCCTTCTACTACCAAACAATCGTAGGGTAGGGACACTAAAATGCAGGTTCCCTGACCCCATCCTCAGCGACTCCGATTGCAGAGGGTCCCAGGATATAATTTCAACAAGCCACGCCTGTGATTCTGACTCTGGTGGACCGAGGCCCACACATTGAGAAATGCCCTGTAGATAAAGACATTCTTCTCCCAGGTGGCAGGGCCGGGACTCAGGTTAGTCCAATGAGGTTCCTGGGGTTCAAAGAGGAAGACATTTCCACTTGGTTACCAAGAGGGGGAGAAGCCAAACCAAACTCACTGCCTACCCTATAGGACTGAGCAGGGTGCAGCGGGTTTCTGAGGCTGTCCATCTGTTTGGGGCCAGCAAGCCTGTGGAGCAGCTGTGATTTCCAACCGCTGACCGTGTGGTGAGAAGCCCGACTCATCACCCACGATGCCACCAGAGCTCAAGGAGGGAGAAGGTGATGTTAATGTCATGGGCTTCCCAAGAAAACTTTTGTTGGCAGGCTCCAGTTTTCCGAAAGTCAAACCTATTTTCCGTCGTTCATAATGAATATCCGATTGCTAAGCTTTTCGCTTCTCATCTTTGCTGATTCCATTCATAATCTCTAACTGCTTAGGTTCACCCTGCGAGCTAGGAGGGCACCCATTCTGTAGCTCGGGAGAGTGACGTTTCTTGAGGTTCCATAACATGATTTGGACCACAAGGTCAGCAAAGGATTAGAACTGGAAGTGAGAGTCAAGTTCGTTGACTTCATGGTCTTTGTCATTGAGCTCCACATGGTCCCCGGCGGGATGCTTTGTCCATCTTCCCAGCATGCATCTGCTGCCCCTGTGCAGCTGGCCATCGGCCCAACCTGGCACATCATATTGGTTCCAGCTCAGGCCCCCAAACCCTTTCCAAATCCACCCCCTCATCTACCTTTCCAACCCCAGTGCAGATCCCACCGTCCCTCAACCTTTCTCTTGACAACCCTGCCACACACAGACCACTCCCCTTGTGAGCCCCACTACAGAGTGACCGCACACAGAGAGTAAACCCCAGGAGGACAGGGACCCAGGGATGCTGGGTTCACTGCCCAGTGGCAGCCCCAGAGCACGCTACATGGGCAGGCTGTAAGCACTTAATAAGTATCTGTCCGAGAGACTGACTAAGGGTTGCCAATTGTTCCCTGGGCGAAATGGGTAAAATCGAGTCTGTGGACCTGTGGGGTCGACTCGCAGGGAATTGCTGATGAGTCAGCCTGCTGCTTAGACTGTCGCCCTCATTCTCTCCTCCTCTCTATCGTGGTAAGTGAATCAGCCACTCAATAAACACACTGACTTGAAATGGAATTGAATTCTACTGGCTCCTGTGGCCGGAGCTTGTTTTGGTCCCTGGTGTCCATCTCTGCTGGAAACCATACCAGAGGGTTCACAGAGCTCCTTCTGTGGGGGCTTTCACAGGAGGACACACCCCCCCACACCAAGTCCTTGTCTTCATTCAGTGCCCCCACAGCCCCACCCTGGGGGAGGGGAACATCATCATCCTACCACGGCCTCTGGAACCTTCGTTCATGCTCGGAGTTCAGGCCTAGGGCACAGAGCCAGCGCCCGGTGAGAACTGAAGAGCAGCCTTTTAGGGAACACCTTTGCCAGAGCAAGAAGCCTTGAACCCCATAAGCCCAGCCGGGGCAGGTGATAAGGTGAGGTAGTTCAAGCATCTTCTTGTCTCATCTACTCAGAGATGGAGTGGGGGTAGGGCTAACATGATGTGTGATGTTTTCTTTGAGGAGCTGGGGATGGGGAAGAATTCCAGGGCCAAGTTAAGGAGCCAGCGAGGAATGCTGAGGAGGCAGTAGGTCATTCTTTGGGTGGGATTTTGTAAAGACATCACTGATCTACCGACTCCCTACCCGATGAGGAAGTAATTCATGGCAACTCAAGCGACAGGAAGCTGGGGAGGTCATGGTTACTGAGGGGCCTTGAGACTTGGCTGAACATAAGCAGGGCCTGGAGAGCCTGGGAAATAGATTTTCCTCTCAGAACTTTGGTGCCAGCTGGTGGGGCGTGAGGGAAGGCTGCCTAAGCAGCCCCGGGCATTCTGGAGCAGAGTGGGTTTAGCAACCACTGGCCAATGGGCCTGAAGGGAACAGAGGGGGAGGTGGTGAACTCACACAGGCAGTGGTTGTTCCAACCTTTGCTGTGGTGTTGGACATGACTGTGTGTGTGTGTAAGACTGTATAAGTCTACGTGGGGAGAGGAGGCGGGGTCAAGCCAGCAAGTCAACTCAGGAAGGCTGATGGGCCCAGGGCCCAGTGAGAGATGGAGAATACAAGTGTGGGCCTTTCTCTGGGACGGAAGAGAAAATGCTGGAGATGAGAGTGGGCATCCAGGATGGCAGAGAGGCTTTTTGGCCGCAGGGAAGGTGGATGCTAAGGGGAACTGTACGGTCTGGGGTCAAAGTTTGGCCTGGGATTCTCTAGAACTGCATGAATCCGAGTCCTGGCTCTGCTAGGCAGTCCTTGTAGGGTTCTGGGACACACATGCGCTTGGCTTTCAGTATTTTCAACTGTAAAGTGGGTGTGTTTGGGTCAGATGGTTGATTCCAGGGACCAGACAACCTTATCTGTAAAGGGCCAAACCAACCCCCCACACAAAAAAAACCCCACCACCACCAACAACAAAATAAACTCACTGCAATCAACTCAATGCCAACTCTTAGGGACACTGTAGGACAGAGCAGAACTACCTCTATAGGTTTCTAAGACTGTCAGTCTTGATGGGAGTCGAAAGCCTCATCTTTCTCACTGGTAGCCACTGATGTTTTCAAACTGCCGACCTTGTGGTTTGCAGCCCAACAGGTAACCACTATGCCACCGGGCCACTGGGTCTTTGTGGCAACTGCTCAACTCTGTCCTGGTAGTGACAAAGCAGCCAGAGACCATCCGTACGTGAATGAGCTTGGCTGGGTTACAATAAAACTTTATTTACCCAAACAGATAGTGGCCCGCTCCTGCTCTGTTGGGTTTTTAAAAAATCATTTTCTTGGGGCCTCATACAGCTCTTATCACAATGCATGCAGCCATCCATTGTGTCAAGCACATTTGTACATTTGTTGCCATCATCCTTTTCAAAGTATTTTCTTTCTGCTTGAGCCCTTGGCATCAGCTCCTTACTTCCTCCCTCCCACCCTCCCTACCTCTCCCTCCCTTGCTTACCCTTGATAATTTATAAATTATTATTATTTTTTCATATCTTACCCTGACCGACGTCTCCCTCCACCCACTTTTCTGTTGTCGTCCCCCAGGGAGGGGGTTATAGTAGATCCTTGTAATCATTTCCCCCCTTTTCCCCCCACCTTCCCCTT